GTTGCATGTTTCTAACACTTAAGGGCTCAATTATGAGCCAATATTATGTAAAAAATCAAAATAAAACTCTGAGCCAACACCATTCATTGGTACAACTAAAGGAAGTGTAAAGTGTGAAAACAAGAATGGAAAAGATGCAACATGTGCAAAAAGTAATTATGGTGAAAAAGATTAATTAACTAAAGCATTCTAAAATCAAAACAGCCCTTTGTTCCAACAATAGAAAACCTAAATCTCAGGTCAGTTGTTTTTTTAACACAAAAATGAACCACATGATTGGACTAATTGAACACAGGGACCTCTAAGATAAGGAAAAAAAAATGGCATCTGTTTTCTAAAGTTTATCAGTATTTAGCAACTATTCGACTTTCTTTTATATTCTATCTTTTTCTCATCTCAGCTCATCCAGATCAGTTGAACAACTTGACTCACAACCCAACAACCTCAATAAGCTCCATTTGTATTGGAACTATTAGCATTACAAGCAATATTTTATGGTTTAATAGACTAAACGGTAAAATGGGTGTACTCACAATTAAAAATGGGAGTGGCCACATAACTATAATATATTAATAATTAATAAGGTATGACACCATAATCCACAGATATTGATATTGCAGGTTTGGGTATCGGAGAGAGTAACAAGAACCAGTGTTTTTCAGGTCAATCAGATACATGTATACTTACAACTCACTAGAAAAAGAAAGCTGAATCATAACCACCACAGATTCAATCATTACCCAGATAACAGAGAATGCTAGTCTCTCCACATTAGCTCAAAAAGAACAAATATCTGCAATATAAAACTTTTATTGAGTGAGCTATCCAAGAGCTCCTGTGACAATTAAGAAATTTTAAAACTAACAAACAACTAGCCATAAAATAAATTAGTTGTATGTGCAACCAACAAATTCAACAAAGTTAATGGAAATGAAATATTACCTTCTGTTAAAGGTTTAGGAAGCATGTCAATTTGCCGCTCAACAAGGTAGACTGATGTGCCCCTTTGTGTAGCCTCATCATCAAGAGGGGTTCCAGGGTGTACAAAATTTGTAACATCAACAATATCTGTTTAAATGTTATTAAGGATTGACAAAAAGCTCCATGCCTAACTGATAAAAACTGAGAACCACCTTTAGACAATTGGATGTATTAAGAGCAACGTACATCCCCCATCTCCTCCTCTACACATAACGTATACAAACACATTGGTTCTATATACCATCATTCAATACATACAGTTAATGTATTCTATCAACCGTCAAATTCCATGACACATTCTATTGATTAGTTTCCGTTTGCCTAATCATCATGCATTGTCTACAACAATCACGACTATCCTCCACCGATAGCCCAAAGCAGTTATTTCTAAACAGAAAATAAATGCACAATGGATATTCAATCAACATTTCATTTCCTCATTTCTCACAATTAATTATCCCAATTAATCAAACAATGAAATTAGGCCATTTTCCATAATTAACATTTCAACCCTTAGGTCCCATTTTCATCAATGATTCAACATTTATTCCATTTCTCTATGCCAAACATGCATCTAGGTTTATTATGAATAAAACCCCAACTTTTGTAAAATTACACAAAAGCCCCAAACTTTCATAAAATTACCAAACCAACCCCAACATCTCAAAATACTAAAATTTAAAGACAAAATCCATAGAGAGGAGTAGGATATCCCTACCTCAAATCCGGAGCCCCAAGGGAGAAGATGACAAAACCCAACGTGCTCCAAATCCCGAAATTTTCAGATTAAAATGTAGCCCTCGACGATCAACAACTTTTTTGTAAAGGCCAAAGATGAGCAAATCACTCCTACCAGATCAAAACCTAGAGAGAAGGTAGAGTTCTAGAGTGAGAGGCTCAACAATGGTGTTTTTGGGAAAGTAAGAGAGAGAAGAGAAAGTGAAAAGTGATTTGAAAAGTCAAAACTCGGAACTTAAACCCAGTCGTCCCGCTCGAGCGTCCAAACCCCTGCTCGAGCGCCGGATGCACTCTCCCAGCATCTCGACACAACAGGTCCCCGCTCGAGCGCTCGAAGCCCCGCTCGAGCGTCACTCACAACCTCCCACTCGAGCGGCCAATACCCCGCTCGAGCGTCCAACACTGCACAGGAAATACTGGATGGGTGTATTCCCCGCTCGAGCGTCAAAACTCCCGCTCGAGCGGACAGTCAAAATCTGGGCAACTAGTTTTGGTTTCTAAACTCAACCAACCTGCCCAACACATCCTATAACTAAAATACAAAGTAAGAAAGGATGTAAACAAGATAATGATCAACTACCAACATCCACGAACACATGTCCGGATCACTATACAACATGAGTAAATCCGGGACCGCTATAGCAATGATTAGAAGCGTAGTTCAGACAATTTTTTCCCCAACCTCTGTTTCTGCCTACAATTGATAACGACATTTACACATGCAAAACAAGAAAAAAAAGGAAGGATCAATACTTTGTAGGTGTTTGATTTTGATCCCTAATATTTCAGCTGTGTTATTTAGTCCCCAACTTATTTAATTTACGTTTAAATAATCCTCAGTGACATAGGTGATTTGACAAAAATATACTTACTTCCGTTATCAATTGCAGACGGAAATGGAGCTATGGACCATTTAATGACAAAATTAATAGGTTGGGGGTCCAAATTGACAGATTTGAAATATCATGTACCAAAATGAAACAAGACTCATATCTTAGGGAACATTTACGTATTTAACTCTATTTTTCCAAGTCAATGTGAACTTTTTGTATTGAGTTTCAAACAATTGTGAGGGCTTATCTATAGGAATGCAGTCTTGGTAATTTTATTAACTTCGGCTGAGCATTATATTTATTTCTATAATACAAGTTATCTGTCTCGTTGATTTTCTGACTTTTGTATGTATATGTCAGGGTGATGAATGGACATATCATGTTAGGTCAATGAAAGTTTTTTCTCCTATGTGCAGGTCAATGTCAATTTTGAGCTAGAAAAACTAAGAATTGAACTCAGACATATAAGAGGAATGTATGCAATAGCTCAAAGTGAGACAATTGATGCTTCTAGGAAGGTACATTTTTTCCATACTCAAATAACTTATGAAAAGAAATATTTACAATTCTTGGTTGATACAAATGAGAGCACATTCTGTTCCTCCATTATTTGAATTTAATAACTGAAATTCCTTGGAAATACTTCTGGCTTCTCACTCCTTCACATTATAGTTCTACTATTCTCTAATTGAAATTTCTCTGGACCTTACATAATTTGGATTTTGGACCTACCAAATTGTGTCAGTATTTGTTGACAGAAAGTCATAATCTGCATTAAGTTCTGGGTCATTTACAAATGATGTTTAGGTTGCAAGGTGTATGACACTACTCTACCGGCATTCTAAGAACCAAGATAATTGACTGTTTTATTGATGCACCATAGCTCAAAATATGCTTGTTGTCAGTAAATTAGCCCGATATATGCATTGTCACTGCCATGAAAAACTTATTACTTCGTTAATTGATTAAAAGATTAATTACTTGGATTTGTGGCAATAGGCTAGCTGTGGATTGGAATGTGTTTCTCTGATGTCCTTATTTTCTATTTAGGTAAACGATCTCCAGAGGCAACGATTGGAAGAAACAATCAAGCTTAAGGAGATAAATGTTAAGGAGGTGGAAGCAAAAGAAATGGCAATACAAGAGAAAGTGAAATATGAAGCGGTGAAAAGAGAAGTTGAGTATGTGAAGGAATGTGCTGAACGAGAAGCAGCACAAAAGAAAGATGCAGAGATTAATGCCTTTCGTGAAGCCAAGGAGAAAGAAAAACTTGAGAATGTGCTGTTGGGGCCTCTGCAGCAGTACCAGAAGTTTGAATGGGAAGAAATCGTGTCAGCTACGTCATCGTTCTCCGACAATCTTAAAATTGGAATGGGAGGATATGGAATTGTCTATAAATGCAGTTTGCATCATACAATTGCCGCAGTGAAGGTCCTTCACTCTAAAGAGGCTCACAGGAACAAACAATTTTTCAGCAGGAGGTAACCAACCCTAGAGATCATTACCTTTTTTTGTTTGTTTTATTTATTCATTTATTTATTTTTGTCCCTTTTAAGATATATAAGCACTTAGATGAATGTGTTCAAGGACTTTCTGATTTTCAATTTTAAATTATCCAATGCATTTGAATATCCTCAGAGGGCATATTGTCTGTCACCAACTCTGCTTGGTCTCAAGCCCATCCTATTCAACTAATGGGAAAATTCTGAAATAAAGTTCAGATGAGCAAGTAGTGCCAAAAAGTAGTTCCCTTATGATCGATTGTCAGGGTGAAAGATGTCTTTCGCTTCGCAATTTTTGGGATCAGACTCATTAAATTTCTCAGTGCATTGAAATACTCGTAATTTATGAAGAAAGTCTTGTACATGTGAGTGCAAAGAGATATGAATGAGGTGTAATTAGAAGCTCCCTTACTGCTTGTTTCCTGGGTCCACTGTTTGTTTTGTTTTCTGTTCCCAGCATTCAGATACAAAGTAGTTTACCAAGAAAAAAACTGTCATTTTCGTGTTATCTATTCAATTTGCTTGTATTCCTTATTCGCAACAACTTGAAAATTGAGGACTAAAGGTTACCACCTAAGAAGCATGGACGTAGACACATGACATGACACGGACATGCCGAACACGGGAATTTTAAAAAAATGCAGGACACAACACGTGGGGGACAAGCAACGAATATATAATTTTTTTGTATTTATTACATGTCATATATATGAATATATCTTTCCAAGACAATAAATAAATGCAATATAATACTAATTTGTATAAATTGATATTGTTTTTCTTTTCTAATCGTATTCTAAGTTATTTTGTTCAACCTTATAATTAGTTTCATATGTGCATTCAATTGACATGTTTGTTTAAGCAATGGGCACGTGTGTCCTTCAAGTATACGAGTCTAAATTATTTTTTTAAAATTAAGACATGTTTGGGTGAGTGTCGGACACGTGTCGGAAAGTGTCCAACAAATGTTGATGTCCGACACAGACACGCCACTATTTTAAAAGGGTTCGTGCTTCTTAGGTTACCACAATTCAGAGTTTAAATACTTATCAAAGTTGTTTATTGGTTTTCAGCTTGAGATCTTGAGCAATATTCATCATCCCCATTTACTAATTCTTCTCGGCGCGTGTCCCGATCATGGTTGCCTCGTTTATGAGTACATGGAGAATGGCAGCCTGGAAGATAGGTTGCTCCGAAAAAACAACACACCTCCTATCCCATGGTTTGACAGGTATAGAATCGCTTGGGAAATAGCCTCAGCCCTCGTCTTCCTCCACAACTCAAAGCCACAACCTATTATCCACCGTGATTTGAAACCCGCAAACATATTGCTCGATCACAACTTTGTGAGCAAGATTGGTGATGTCGGGCTTTCCAAAATGCTTAACTCAGAATCTTCTGCTATATCAACTTTGAGCAAGGACACGGGACCTGTGGGGACACTTTGCTACATTGATCCGGAGTATCAGAGGACCGGGTTAATCTCTCAATCATCCGATGTTTATGCATTTGGAATGGTGATTTTGCAGTTGTTGACTGCAAAACCGGCCATAGCATTAGCCCATACAGTGGAGTTGGCAGTTGAAGATGGCCATTTAGCGGATTTACTTGATATAGAAGCGGGACAATGGCCGATTGAAGAGACAAAGGAATTGGCTGTATTGGGACTGAAATGTGCAGAGCTTCGACGTAGAGATAGACCTGATTTGAGAGATCATGTTCTCCCTGAACTGCAGAGATTGAAAGAGTTTGCAGATAGGGCACGAGATATGGCATCCAATGCTCAACTGGCACCTCCTAACCTCTTCATGTGCCCAATACTTAAGGTATGCCTGCCAATGTCACATTTTACTATCAATATTTGCTGAACTGATTCTACGCATTTCTAAATGAAATTGTAGATCATGTCAATTTGGAAATGTACTATGAAATCTCCAAACGCTCTCATTTTTTTGCTGAAGATAAGGTTATCGCGGAAGTAGGGAATGATTTATTCTATTTTTTTTGACTTTTTGGAAATAGGGTTTTGCAAATGAGCCGAGATGAACCAAACTTTAGGGTGTTTGGGCTTAGCTCACTAGAAATTAGTCAAGCTCCAACTCAAGCTCGGCTCATCAAGTATTTGAGAAACTTGAGCTCAGCTCAATTCCATAAACGAGTGGAGCTCGAGCTTGAAAGGAAAACTTGAATTTAAATGAATCTCCATATTAAAAGAAAGAGAGAAAATTATGAACGGAAAAAAAAATAATAATAATTCTCATATTAATTATATTAATTAATGAAAATATATTTGATATATTATTAAAAATAAATATTAAGTTTGCGCCTACTTGAGCTCAAGTTCATTCATTTAGCAAATAAGTCTAGTTCAAACAAGTTTTAAATGAACCAAACACGAGCTGTTAATAAACAACTCAATTTTGTAGCCTTAAATTGGAATATAGGCTAGTCACACAACTGGTAATGGATATGCACTTGACAAAAAGCAGCTTTGTGCAGGTTTTTTTTTTTAACTTATCATCTGACATTAAATTATTTCCTCCCATTTTAGCATCCAACAGAGCCTTATGAAAATCACTTTCTCCTTTTGTAATTTCTCATGACTTGTCAATATGTTATGTAACTTGTCCTAATAATGCAAAGATGTATTATCATGAACTTTGTGCTCGAGAACTTTGATTTCATTTTTGAATAATTGTGATCTTAAATATTAGTTTTTGATCGATGTTTAGTTCTGCAATTTTAACTTATATATGCCTGGATATGTATTCCTTCTTCTGCCCAAATTCCTTATTTTTATTTGATAATGGCAATTGATATGTTTCTCTTCCAGGATGTAATGGAAGACCCTTGTGTTGCTGCTGATGGCTATACATACGATCGCAAAGCTATAGAGATATGGCTCAAGGAGGATGATAAGTCTCCAATGACAAATTTACCCTTGCCAGATAAAAGTTTGATACCAAATTATACACTTCTTTCTGCTATTATGGAGTGGAAGTCTGGAAAACAGTGATATTGCTTATTGTTCATAGCTTCTGATGATGACAATGATGATGATGGTGATTTCTTGCAAGAATTGTTCTGCATATAGCATTTTATGTGCCGTGATGTACAGGATCACTTGCTTGTAATTTAACATTTGTTCCAAATATGAAAGTTGAAATTTTGAAATTAACAGAAATAAGAAGGGTGTTGTGATGAACAGGAAGAATGTTGTTATTGTAATATCAGGAGGATAAAAGGGTTATGTTAATGAAATATTGGACTATCATATTTATGTAACATTGAATTTAGAACCTAAAACTGTTGTACACTTTGAATTTATCAACAATGACAGAAATGGAAGTAGTTTTCTAACAAACAACCACAAGGACAATTGCTTCTGTTTATTAAGGAAAAATTGATCTCAATAATGTATCAATAACCAAAGACACAACTGCAATGTGTTGACCCCACCACTCTATGTTTGTAAAGTAACTGTCAACTGATCTTCATACCATGCCCCCCATAAAACGGGAAAATATATTTTAGTCTAGGAGTAAATACATGTAGTGTTTTAGTCTAGGAGTAAATACATGTAGTGTTTCAATTTGAATCTGATTGGCCAAAATAGTAGACTATCACTTCTGTGTCTCTTTTGAGAGCATCCGCATCAGTTTCAGCAAATTTTGAATCAAATTATAACTTAAAAAGTCATTTTTTTTTTATTTTAGCTAGTCATCCATTGCATCATACTCTCTATTTTAACTTAATTCTATTAAAATAGGAATTTTTATTGATAAATCAATCTTAGAGTTGTTATAACCCATTAAGTCCACAAAGGAATATTATAACCTGATTAGTCCCATATACTTTTCTTTTTATTCCATAAAGTCCATTTTTTAAATTTTATATTTTTACATGGACTATTATGCCTTTATATATATATATATACACTGTGTTAATACATAACACGTTCCTGTGATTTCGTGATTCAGTTTTGACAGTTTTTATCATTCTAATTCAAATGGATACGTTTCTATCTTGCATGCTATCATTCTATCGTTCTGAGGCTTTGATGTGCTACGGTTTCATTGTTGCTTTGGTTCGGTGATTTTCAAGTGAAGACGACGAATTTCATATTGTTCGGTTCTCACATTTTCTGAAGTATAACTACTTCAAAGCGATTGTTTTCGAGTTTCTGGACAATTGTAGGATTGCATGATTAAGGTTAGTATCATTTTGGTTATGAATACATATTCACTTTATGTTTTGATTTCTGGGATGGATCAGATGCTCTGTTTTTTTATTGCTATGGATCGGATGTTCTGTTTTTTCAATTACATGCATCATACATGATCCTGTAGAGGGGAGGTCATTCAGATTATGTTAAGAATGCTATAATATTCCTTTTACTTTGATGTATCCATAATGAGGATCTGTGTGAGTGATATAATTTAGAGTATATGGATCAATGTGAATGTTTGCATCGTGGTCCTGTGGATGGGAGGTCATCAGATTAGTGATGAATGTGGATCTGCTATAATTCAGAGTTTGTGGAACAATGTGAATGTTTACATCATGTTAGTATTACGTGAAGAATGTGGATGTTTGCATTTTACTTTGATGTTTGCTTAATGAGGCTCTGTGTGAGTGATATAATTCAGAGTATATGTGTCAATGTAAATGTTTACATCGTGGTAATATTATGTGAATAATGTGGATGTTCTCACTTTACTTTGATGTTTGCTTAATGAGGTTTTGTGTGGGTGATATAATTTAGAGTATATGTATCAATGTGAATATTCACATCTTGTTAATGTGAATTATGGATGCAACACTTGAACTGTACACGTATTCATCTAATTTTTGCACAATGTGAATTTTCATATCGATTTGGATTATTGTTGATTGTTGTATTGTTGTGTTTTTACAGGAGATGGATATCTTTATGATGTTGGTGTGTACATATGGTTGCAGTACCACTGTAATAAATGCTGCATGCGCATTCTGTTATTCGCGTTTGGTGGACTGTTTGTTATTCGCGCATTGTGTTATTCGCGTTTGGTGAGCTTATTTGTTCTACATTCGAAACAAAGCTTATGGATTCGTTCAATGACAGCTGGTCTTGGCAAGTTAGCAAAGCCAATGAGGATGTGTTTAAAGTTCATTCGATACCATCTGTTACTATTGATGTTGCGAGGCGTACATGTTCTTGCTTCAAATGGCAAATCAACGAATTCCCATGTTACCATGCTGTTATTGCCATTCAGAAGAGCCGCTACAATCTCAATGATTGTGTGGAATATTACTTTCATGTAGAAACATATCGTGCAGCCTATTCGGGTGCCATATTCCCTATACCATCGGTGGAGAAGCCGCATTTTGATCCCACGGACTTCACTATATACCCGCCAACTGTGAAAAGACCACCCGGAAGGCCGAAAAAGAATAGGATCCCATCATGGGGTGAGAAACTGAAGTAAATAAGGTGCGGGAGATGTGATAAGTTGAGGAGCCATAATCGAAAATCATGCGCGGAACCGATATAGGATGTACATTTTTCATTTCAACATTGTGTTTTACATTGGATTCTTATATTCATTTTTGAAATAAGATTGTGTCGGTTGGCAAAGATTGCGTTGCAACAAGATTACGTTGCGTTGGCAAACATAATAATGCATTAGTATTTGATTTGTGTTTTGTTTTTAATTTTTTAAGGTACCAATCTGACATTTATGTTGTTGTGTTTTGGATGAATGCATGATGTTAACTTTCACACTTGTGTAATATAATCACATTATGTGAATAATTGCACATGGGTTGAACTTTTAAACATTTTTGTGGTGTGAATGTTCACTTTCTTGTTACTGTTAACAGCATCAAAGTAGATGACATGAACGTTTACATCAATGTAACCATTCACATCATCAACTCATAAGATGTGAATATTCATGACATCGTTGTTGCCATTCAAATAATCAGAAGCTATGATGTGAATGTTCACATCATCAAATTAATAGATATGAATATTGACTTGTGTTAAGAAATATCATATTCACACCTGTCATATTGTGTTACACGAACACTTTAAGCAATATTCATATCCATATAGTATGGTTTAAAACATAAGAAAGTGTACGATAATTCTGTGATGTGAACATTCACATCATGTCATGTGTCAAAAAACAAAAACAAAAAATACAATCTCAATGTGCATGACCAACGCAAAATAGGCCTGAAAATGCATATACATATATTGACTGAAAAATATCTGTACAAGCAGTGATATAGACTTGATTTACAATTAAGCTAGTCTGCTCCAATATGTAAAACCTATTGACACTAAATTGTCTTAAATGTGAATAACAGATTTGGGTAATAGTGATAGGTAGACATCCCCCACCTATAGGTTTTCACATTGCACTGTTTTTCTGTGGTTCAGAAAAAGTGTACTAATGAGTCTCTTATTTGACACCATTCAAAGCGATCTAGGCTGGCAACAATGTCTTCACGGTATACATGCGCCCTCATGATGTAACAAATTGCAGGTCTGCAATCCACCCTGAAAATGCAAAATTCTTGTTAGATTTTGAAAATTAGGTGGGTAATAATTGTGGAACATGTGTACAAATCAATTTTAGACTTACGAATTTGAAGCTTGCTGAGGACAGATGTCTACTGATATGATTGCTTGCGAAGTATTTTGGCTTGATAATTTGGTCCATAATGGTGATGATGGTCCAATGTTGCGCACCAAAGCATCGATGTAGTCCCTCTGCCAACAATGAAATTTCATATTAGGCACCAACCAACATAGTGCATGCGTCCAAGTTCCAATATTACACATCATACAAGTATTATATGTGTCAGCCACATACCACTATTTGTGCTTTGTCAATATGTGGGTCATGTATACCTTCTCTTGGGCGCAGCGAGTTATCATGCCTCCATACATTCTCTGTCACGTCGTACACAACAATTGTCCAGTGGAAGTTGTCGTGTATTGGGAAGATTAAGAATCTCTAGCCTTGATACTCCTTGATGTGTACATCAATCAGTTTGTTTCTCTTGTGGGGGGGTACTCTTGCATGATTTTCTGCACACAAAGGGTGTACAATGATGTACCTAGTATTTACATCAATGTTCGATGTGAATGATGTGAATATTCACATGTGCCAATGGTGAGTGATGTTACTGATGTGAATGTTCACATCTGTTAATGTGAGTGATGTGAATGTTCACATGTGCTAATGGTGATTGATGTGAATGATGTGAATGTTCACATCTGTTAATGTGAGTGATGTTACTTATGTGAATGTTCACATCTGTTAATGATTAGTGATGTGAATGATGTGAATGTTCACATCTATTACTGATTAGTGATGTGAATTATGTGAATGTTTACATCTATTAATTTGTGAAACAGTCATACAATGTATTACAGATGTGAATGTTCACACCTGTTATATTATGTTGTTGTTAATATTCACATTTGTGTATCATTTAAGTTAATAACATAATAAGCATATAATTTTCACTGCGAATGATGTTAATGTTCACATCTGTCAATATGCAGCTTCTTATCTGTCGTTTTTATGTTGTTGTTAACATTCACATCTGCCTATCATTTAAGTTAACAATATAAGCATATAATGCTGAGATGAACATTCACATTCACATCTATTGAAACATAAACAAAGCAAAAGTCTAGTGGTTACCAAACATGTGCTTGTAAAGATGAATGTTGAATCCTCCAAACTTGGGTTGACTAGCCCTTGTAGTTCAAGTAGAATTTCACCATATGCATCTATCACCTGCAGAAACAAAGGGGTGGCAATACATTATTTACAGTGTCTTTACAATGTGTGTGTCTGTGTGTGTATGTGTGTGCGTTTTGTACACATTTACATTTACTACACGTTGTTGGTTATTGATTCTTCATTGATGATATGTATGATGTCATCAAAATACACATCTTTAGTCTTTGAGTCCCCTCGCCACACTAGCAACCTGTGCATTGTGATTACAGAAAATGTTAATGTCAACATTGCACATTTATGAAATGATCTAATTTATTAAGTATGTATGTGAACTGAACATGAGAAAAAAAAAATTCAGTTGGGGATATGTAAGATCACTTACTCATCACCGCCGTTCTTGTGCAAATTTTGGACCTTCTGCGTGTTGAGTTTGCTCATGTTGGCCCAAACCTTCAGTTTGTTATTCAAGGTTAACTTCTTTTTTTTTGTTGGCTCCTTTTTCTGTGGATGCTTGTTTAAATCTTGTGCAATTTGGACTGCATGGGATTGCTCTTCGGCTCCCTCTTTCCTCCCTTTCTTTTAACCAGGCAAGTTGGGGTATTCAAACTCATCCAACCGGTGC